TGAGTGGTCCACCGTTGTAGCCATCAGTTTGTCCGTTATGTTGAACAATTTTACTTTTGTTTATGGCTGCCCCTGCTGCTTAGCCAAAGGCCTCAGAGGGTTGTTGGTGACCACAATCAGAGATGTTTCCAAGCACAAATAACAGCTACAAAAACAGGAAGGGAAAGAGAAACTAGCACAGTGTGGGTAACCACCACGCCTCAGTTGTCACATCTCAGATACAGACAGGAAAGAAAGATTTGACCATGAATGTAATTAACTATATTTCATCAAAAACAAAATGACTTTTTTCCTCTCAGCTGCCCTTTGAGCCATCCAGCACATGAGATTGTACATACACATTTCAGATCGCACAAGAACATTTTACAGTGTTACTCACACACTTCAGGGCAGTTACAATAATGGGAATGTGGCTGTATGAAGGTGGGAACAGTGGAAAAGCCGAGGTGGGAAGGGGCGTGAGGAACTGGTAAACAGCTCTGATAACAGGTGGCAGAGGAATGCATTTTAAGATGGACTGAGAAAGCAGAGAAATCCAGGGACATGGGCAGAGTAGTCCAGACAGCTGGGTGTCAACAAGAAAGAGTCAGTGAATGAAAGCAATGACACAGGCTTTAATATTTTCCTTGTAAGTAGTAATTAGCTGCACAAATATTTAGTTAACGAACTCATCCGGCATAACCCTGATGTTGCTGGAATTGCAAACGCACCCTGCACTCATTATAATTACCGTTTGACAATGTGTAGCGGGGTTCTTACCTCACGGGAGTCACTGCCTCAGTGTCCCCACCAGTAAAGTAACTTCACTTCTGGTGTTTCGCTTCGTCCATTGGTAGCTGGGTGCATTAGGCCTGAGGGAGGAGAAAAAGGAGCAGGGGGCTGGGGCTGGGAAAGAATTGGCTGAGCGAAGGGATCAAGTAGGGGCCCAGTGTGAGATTGCAGATGTAGATGGTGAGCAACGAGGGATAGATTATGGAGTTCATGACTGTGACAGAGCCCTTAGAGGGAGTGTGTGTGCGTGTGGGTGGGTGTTTTTTGGTAAACAGTGGCTGGCTAGTGCATTGTGGGAGCTACTGTCATACAAATAAAATAACAGCAACAGTAATAATAATGGTGATCAAGGGTCCCTGAAGACTAGCACAAGAGTTAGGTAATATTGTGGAGCTGGAGTCCACAAAGGACTTTCAGCCTGGGGTGATAGGATCAGATTGGCATTTATGGCTGAGAAGGTGGCTACACCCTTCTAAACAGACTTCAATTTGGATTCAGGACACTTTGGGGGGCTAGTGGCAAGGAAGCTGCAGTAAAACAAGGCATGAAGTAACTAATGCATGAAGGAGCAAATGCTTCATCACAGGGAGCTGTGGGAGTGGGAGATGTGAGCTGCATCTCAGATGTCAGAACTGAGAAAGGAAATCACAGGACTGGAAGAGACCTCGAGAGGTTATCTAGTCCAGTTCCCAGGACCAAGCACCATTTAGATCATCCCTGACAGGTGTTTGTCTAACCTGCTCTTAAAAATCCCCAATGATGGAGATTCCACAACCTCCCTCGGCAAGTTATTCCAGTGCTTAACAACCCCGACAGTCAGGAAATTTTTCCTAATGTCCAACCTAAACCTCCCTTGCTGCAATTTAAGCCCATTACTTCTTGTCCTATCATCAGAGGTTAAGGAGAATAATGTTTCTCCTTCCTCCTTGTAACAACCTTTCAGGTACCTGAAAACTATTATCATGTCCCCTCTCAGTCTTCTCTTCTCCAGACTAAACAAACTCAATTCTTTCAATCTTCCCTCAGAGGTCATGTTTTCTAGACCTTTTATCATTTTTGTTGCTCTTCTCTGGACTTTCTCCAATTTGTCCACATCCTTCCTGAAATGTGGCGCCCAGAACTGGACACAACACTCCAGTTGAGGCCTAATCAGCACGGAGTAGAGCGGAAGAATTACTTCTTGTGTCTTGCTTACAACACTCCTGCTAATACATCCCAGAATTATGTTTGCTTTGTTTGCAACAGTGTTACACTGCTGACTCATATTTAGCTTGTGATCCACTATAACCCCTAGATCCCTTCCCTTCCTAGGCAGTCATTTCCCATTTTGTATGTGTGCAACTGATTGTTCCTTCCTAAGTGGAGTACTTTGCATTTGTCCTTATTGAATTTCATCCTATTTTCCTCAACCATTTCTCAAATTTGTCCAGATCAGTTTGAATTTTCATCCTATCCTCCAAAGCACTTGAAGATATTGAACAGAACTGGACCCAGTACTGATCCTTTCGGGATCCCACTCCTTATGCCCTTTCAGCCTGACTGTGAACCATTGATAACTATGCTCTGGAAATGGTTTTCCAACAAGTTATGCACCCACCTTATAGTAGCTCCATCTAGGTTGTATTTCCTTAGTTTGTTAATGAGAAGGTCATGTGAGACAGTATTAAAAGCCTTGCTAAAGTCCAGATATATCACATCTACCGCTTCCCCACTATCCACAAAGCTTGTTACCCATTCAAAAAGAAAGCTATCAGGTTGCTTTGACTTGATTTGTTTTTGACAAACCCATGCTGACTATTAAAAATATTAAAAATATCTAAACCACAGATTTATGAAAAAGTTTCTATTCATCTGGGTATAATGGTTAAATTATCCCAAAATAGCAAGTTTGATTTAAAAAGTCATAAAATGCATCTAGTACATAATCTGCAATATCTGAGATTAGGGTTAATACATTTAACAGTACAGTTTATATCCAAATACTCAGATATGTCACTCATGAAATGTTATACTAGGAGTAGCTAGTGGAAAATAAATATAGTAATGAGTGTAAAATGTCCCTCAATTTAGGGTAGGCTTCCCCTGAATAAATATGGTCTATTAAAGAAATATTTTGGCTACTTTCCTGTCTTTGTTTCCATTGTCACTGTAGTTCATTTCTCCTGGTATTGCTGATGTCCAGTGATATGTTAAATAAATGTCTCTTGACCACCTGATGGTGTCCAACATCAGCTGGGCATAACACTGACTGATTCCGTATTCCTGTGGCACTTGCTGTTATTGGGATCCCCTATGCTCAGTGCATGTGTTTGAACCTCATAACTCTCAAGGCATCAGCCAGGGGAGCGTATTTCTCCACCTTTCAAGCTCGGGTGTTGCAGAAGACCAGAGTCCTAAAATAATTTGTAACCCCTCACCAGCCAAAATTGTTCACTCTTGCAAGCAGCTAAGTCTGCTGAACACCTAGGCAGAGTAGCTGTGTCTATGCAAACAGTACGCTCCTGATGTCTTTTCACCCACTTCATCATAGATGTCAGGGGAAAGCTTATTTAGACCCTGTTTACACTTAGAAAGAGGGGGGCATGCATGGGACATGAATCTCTGAAGGAGGGTGCAGCAAAAAATGTTTGGGAACCTCTGCGTTAGATCATCTAGTTTGACCTCTTGCATATCACAGGCCTGCTGGATATACCAGGCTTGTGTTACCAACAGTTAAACTGGAATTTGTGCCTTGTTGTCTCTGAATTGGGAAGGAGTGCACATACACAGCTCCTTCGTTTCTGCCCGGGCCATGAACATGTGATTTGTTTTCTAGTCTGTTCAGGAACTGGCTCTTTGGTGGCTCCAACCTGGTTCTGCAAGAAGTTTAAGTCAGAGTCACTGTCAAATGTGACAAGGGCCTTGACCTGACCCTCACTCAAATACTCCTGGTCCCTCCACCTGACAGGCCCCTTGACTGCCTTCTGCTGCTGAAACCTTCTCACCCTCAGTGCACAGCAGCCTCATCACAGCCAAAGCTTAAGGAATGGATCTGCTGAGCAGAGAACCACAATTCCCTTCAGCCCCCTGCCCACTGCACATCGGTTTCCCTGGCCTGGCCAGGGAAAGATCCTCCTGAACCAGGAGGTGGCTGGGCTCTGGAAGTGGCAGCTGCATGGCTACTGAGGAGCTGCAGGGAAGTTGGATGCAGAAAAAGAAGACCTAGGAACTGTTAATCTATGGATACATTCTGTTACTGGGACTCAGGACTCAGGCTGATTGCCAGCTCGAGTGGAGAAATTATGTCCAGAGACAGGGATCCAACTGGAAAGAATGAACAGTTGAACATGATGTTGGGAAACAGCTTGACAGATTTTGTACAAGAGTATGGGGGTAATGGACCCTGGAAGCCCAGTGCCTTCACTGGCCCTGGAGCCTCTCTGCAGCTCCACAAGCAATGGGACATCTGGCTTAGTGCAGGAAGGTGGGGGGGTCCGAATGTTAGGGCAAAGAAAAAGGCTGCTTTGCAGGGGCTGTGGATGGTTGCAACAACACTGGATCAGGAGATAGATTGGTTTAAAGACCCAGTGCAGGAACTGGAAAGAATCAGAGCTGAAAAGGAAAGTGAAGTGATTAATTTGAAGGCAGAATCTGATGTCTCAGAGCTACGTCTCTGACACAAGCAACACAGATTGTAGGAATGCAGAAGCAGGTATGTGACAGTGAGTGGGTCAGTAGTAAGTTGCAAGGAGAAGTGTCTGAGTTGAAACAACAGACCACAGAGAGCAAAGCTGCAGTCAGAGCCCTTTTGAAGGGTTCACAGAGCAGAACCCAGGCAGACCACGGGAAATGCCGGAGACAGATTTGTGCCCTTAAGGCTCAGTTGGGAGAGCAAAGGGGAATCGTGCCAGTGATCAGAGGGAATTGTAGCTGGGAGGAAGACATAGAATCAGGGAAGGATCCCAATGTATCCCCTCCTTATTGCAATTATGAGCTGACAGACCCTGGTGAGTTCACCATGGAGCCCATCGGGCAGTCTCCATATAGCCCCCTACGGGAATCACTGGAAAAGCTGCAAAGGCCTCCCCTGATGGCTCCCATAGTCAGTACCTGTCACAAAAAGGGGACCCCAGGGAGGTTAGGGAGGAACAGAGGAGCGGGTGGAGACTAGACCCTTTACCCCTGACCAGGTTAGGGCAGTAGGGAAATCAGCTGGCTTTCCAGTGGTGCCATGTGGTGACTGATCTCACCTGAGGAGCTGGGGGTCAGACTCCGCCTGGCTGGGGGGAATTTCCCAGCAAAGCTCTGTAAACTGGGAGTCACCTTGGAGAGGGAAAGGGCCAAACTGAGGGTGTTGTTGCCAGGTGCCCAGAAGCTAGTTCTCCGGGGGTCCCAGCATGCAGGCTTGGGCCTCACCAGCGTCCCACAGCCAGCCCTGCCCTTTCCGTGGCTGGCTCCAGACCACTCCCAAATGACTTCTTCCCCCTCCAGGATTCTCCGAGGAGGGCATCTCACTGCCCTGTTGGTAAGGGTAGCTCTTCTTCTGGGGCTTTCCCTTGTCAATCATTTGACTCTGCCCCCTCCTCCAAGCAGGCCACCTGCCATCCTCCCCCATGCCATCTCAAAGGAGCGTTCACAAGCATTTTGGTCATACTGTGTTTTTTGTGCAGTCTGGCTTTGGTGAGGTTACTTTGAACCACTCCCATCGTGTCCCTTAACTCCTCTCTGAACTTCTGTATCTATTCAGTCACTGGTCCCCCATCTGCCTCAGTGCCTCACTCTCAGCAGTCCCTGAGGAGAGCTGGGGTCTCCCCCCTTTTTCCCATACAGGAGATCAATGAGGCAAATCTTATGGATTCTTGGGGAACTTCCCTATAAGCAAATAACAGGTAGGGTAACATTACATCCCAGTCACTTGCCCTCTTGTTTGCATACATGCCCAGCATAGATTTCAGCATCCTTTTGAACCTTTCAACTGAACCATTTATCTCGGGGAGTTATGGGTCAGTGCTCAGCTGTTTTACATCCTCCATAATTCACTGAATAGCTGAGATATGAAATTTGATCCACGATCTGGCTGGGGATCCTTGGGAAAATCCACTCAGCTGAAAATACTGACTAGAGTTTTTGCTACTGTGTCAGCCTCTATGTTAGACAGAGCAACTGCCTCTGGGTAGTGGCAAAGTCCTCTACCACCAAAGTATACTTCTTTCCCCTCTGGTTGGCCAGTGCATAGAGACCACAATATCAATTGCCACCTTATAATGCCTAGAGGGGAACTTTGTGGGGCCCTAAAGGCTTCTTTTGCTTCTGACAAAAGCCATAAGACTTGTAGTTCCTGTTCTGAATATCTGGTCAATAACAATTACTTTTTAACTTCTTTTGTGTCCTCTCTGACCCCAAGTGTCCAGCAAAAGGACAGTCACAGGCGAACAACACTCTCTCTCCATGATGCTTAGCAGGCACAATAGCTGCTTCTGAGGCTTCCTAGGACCTCTACTTTTCTCCAAAGGAGATTCTCTGGACATCTTTCCTTCCTCTTCAGAAAACCTTCCCCTGTTTTCCTTAACTGGGGTCCCTCTGACGATGACTTCCCTTATGCTTTCTGGAGAGGGGTCTGTTCTCTGCTCTGCTGTGAAGTTCTGGCTGCTGCCAGCTCCAATAGTTGTTTCAGGGATGGGGTGGTGGTGGCTCCTCCCCTCCCATTCCTGGATGCACACTGCCTTTCTCTCCTGAGCCAGGGCTGGAAATGTCCCCTCCCAACTCAGCTGAATCTCTTTCTTTGGAGTTCCATCTGGGACCAAAGGGACATATTCCTTTTTACTGAGTCGCCATACTAACAGCTTTGGATGCAGTCAATCTATCACTACCAATTAACACCTTGCTGGAATGCTACGCAGTACACCAAGTTTTAAGGTGCCTTTTAGACCTTCCCACTCCAACTTCACTTTTGCTACAGGCGCAGTGGTTTTAGATTTTCCCAGTGCCAGGAGTTTACATTTTACCCTGGGGACATGTTCAGTTTCCCTAACCGTGCCCAGAGAAATCTGGGTACCAGTGTCTCTCCATCCCTGGCTTACCTGGCCATTCACCTTGGCAACTTCAATAAACTCCATATTGACCTCCAATGGGTCAGGCCTTACAAAATTCACCAGGATCACCTCAGGCACCTCTGTGGGTCCTGTGTCCATGACAACCAGATTAACCTGGGCTGGGTGGGGTGCAAATATGGATTCCTCTTGCTCAGGGACATCTCTTTTCAAGTGTTCATGGGAGCCACATGAGAAACACCTCCTTGGACTGTGCTCCTCAGATAGAGGTCTGTGAATATGATTACCAGGAGGGGCTCAGTTTTGAGGTGGTGGGTGCCAGGATTCCCAAATATCCTCCCTTTTCCCAGGGAGAAAACACTGGGCTTTTCCCTTGTGCGATAGGGAATACGGACCCCACACTGGACAACAAGGGGTTAAGGAGTTGCTCTGGGCTCAGCCAGCCCCCCTCCCATGTCACACCTGCAAGACAGGTACAGGCTGGAGAAGGAGGTAAAAGGGGAGCACAACAGCTCAGTTGTGGGCAGACCAGGGGAGAGAACAGACCTTCAGCCCTCAGCCCCAAGGACAGGGCTGACTAGAGGCAGGAGCTTCCCCAGTATTTGCTGCCTGAAGGCCCCTCTCTCAGGAAATGAGGGCCGGAGCCTGGTACACCCTGAGAGGAGTCATTCCCCTTTCTCTCTTGGTAACTCAGTTTATTTGCATTAATTCCCAATGCTTTTTGTTCACAGATTACCCCAAAAGGGGAGAGACTTGGAAGTGACCCGCTGGAGGATCAAGTCACAGGAAGAGGCAGGCAACCACTGAGACAGAGCAGCCATTGTCAGGAGACACCCAGCAGAGATAGAGCTGCCACACCACACCTGCCCACGAGGACGCACCAGCAGGGAGCCGACCCCTTCACACCTTCTCTTTGCAGCTTCTGCTCCCTGAACAGCCTGACCTGTATTGATCCTGGACTTTTCTCCCACACAACTGTCTTCACTTCCTCAGCACAAACCTCAAAGAACTGCTCTCAAGCGATTAAATCCACCAACTTGTCATGGGTGTTTGCCTCTTTGATCTCAATGCCCTTTTTCAAAAATCCACCATTTTATGCACAAATTCCCCATGACTTAATTTATCAACCTTTTGAAGGTTTCTGAACCTGAACCATTTTAACAGAGACATTTTAGAAAATCGTGTTTCATTGCCTCGCTTCCATCCATATCATTGAACATCTGTAATGCTTGTAATGCTTTATCCAGCAGTTTAGCGAGAAGGAGTGTGATTTTTTGGCTCTCAGGAATGTTCTGAACACTACAGATTCTTTCAAAGGTGATAAAAAAACTGTTCAATACAATCACTTTCCTTGTAACTAGCGTAGACCCCCTTTACTAATGGGGCCTCTGAATTTAACCGGGAGTGTTCCAGTTGGGAAGATCCCGTGTGCTGTAATCTAGTCTTAGAGTCCATAACTCCCATGATGCCCTGGGGAAAGAGTGAGAGACTCTCTGCCAGGCAGTGCAGGGCTCCATTTTGGGAAGAGGAACGAGATTGCTTTGGTGGAGCTCTGTTCATTCCAGGAGCTGTTGCTGGGAGCCTGCGGAGGCTTTGATCGAGCAGGGAGCCTCAAGGCTGTTGGTGGCTTCACTGGAGCGAAGGCAGAGACTGTTGCTGTGCCTAGAGCTGACTGAGGTGAGCCTGCAGGGAAAGAACTGTGAGTAACTGCGACTGTACTTTGGGAAAGTGCTGGCAAGGGAAGGGGCACAGTAGAGAGACAGATTCTGAGCAGAGGCAGAGTGATCTTCCCATCGACCCAGGACCCAGAGCTGCAGACATTTGGTGGGGCCAGCTCCAGTCGTCAGAAGGGTTGTGCAACTGGCTGCCTTGGCTGGACTGATCCACAGAACCTGCACAGCGCTGTCTCCAGCTTCCGCTCTCCAAGTGTGCCCACGCAAGCAAGTGCCTAGGACTCTGAAATCCAGAGGAGTGTACACTGCAGGGTGGAGGGTGACCAGATGTCCCGATTTTATAGGGACAGTCCCAATTTTGGGGTCTTTTTCTTATATAGGCGCCTATTACCCCCCATCCCCTGTCCCGATTTTTCACACTTGCTGTCTGGTCACCCTAGTGGGGTGGGGTACATGGTGGCAGTGTCAATGCCAGTTCAGTAGGTTTCATTTATTACTGGATGCCAGGGAGGATTTGATTTAAATCAAATTGATTTAAATAGGGTTACCATTCGTCCGGATTCCCCCGGACATGTCCGGATTTTTGAGCTAAAAATAGCGTCCGGGGGGAATTTGTAAATGTCCGGACTTCCCCCGGGACGCTAACAGGGCAGCTGGCCGGATGCTGAAACTTACATGGGGCTCAGACAGCCAGACACAGCCCCTCCTCCGCTCCCCTGCAACAGAGATCAACTCCCTCCCTCCCTGCAT